TTTTTTTTTTTTTTTTTTTTTTTGCAGTTGCAGTATTTTCTGCCTTTCATTTTCAGTGGTCCTCTCTTAAGAGGTGACTTGAGTGTGATGAAGTCCCATGTATTTGCTTTAAAACATCCACAGCTCTGTCCTTCTCAGGAAGTGCAGCAAATGCTAACACGGTGCTGCAGAGAGAGTGCTGGGGAGCGGATCAGGAATGGCCAGGATTCACTCCCTGCCTTTTCTGAATGTACTGATTCCCTAGCTCCAAAACGGGGCAGTATGGTAGTCTGGGCTTGGCAGAACTGAAGATTGGTGTGCTGATCTTCCTGGCCCATGTGACCATGAAATCTAATAATCAGGTATATTTAATTTCACCCATAACACCTTACTGCCCCATWTTAATGGGCCTTTGGGTTTTTTAATCAATAAAGCTGGATTTTCTCAGTTGCTGTGACTGCTCTGTGTTTCCCTGGGATGGGGTAGGTGTTAAGGCATCTCAGTGCTCAGACTTGAGCCTGCTGCTCCCTGCTTATACTATAAACAAACACATCGCTGGCAAGGGCAGATTATTCACTCACTTTTCCCCCCGCTGTGAATAACACAAAGGCCCAGACAGCCTCAGCCAGCTGTTAGGATACTTTGGAGCCCAAGCAATGCTTCCTTCCTCCCTCCCTAACTCAGGATGCAAGTCCACTTCTCTGTTTGTGTTTAGGAGAGGAGGAAGGAGTCCAGTAGTTCTGTGCTCCGTCACCTTTGTGGGAGGCTGGAGCTCCTGGATAAAACTATCCTGTTTTTCACAGCTAATTTGGCCTTTTTTGGCATGTCCAGCACTGCAGGGGCGGGAAACCATGCTGGCATCGTCTCAATATGTGCTTTTGGTGCCTACTGCCCAATCTGAATAGTCTAATACAGGGGTTTTACCATTGCATCCAGCAGCAAGGAAGAAGAGACATGGAGTATGGAGCTGTAATGTGGATTTGCTGAGTGGGGTCACCAGCCGCTACCTGGCTGGGCAGGACTGGATCTGAACACTTGTCTTTGAGTAGGTGTCTCAGGGCCCTCCTGGGACTGGCAAGTGTCRGTATGGTCATGGGCTGCTGTTGGGCAGCCTCTTTGCTCCCTCTCCAGCCCATGTARGACCTCATGCCATAGCTGGGGGTAGACAGCAAAGCTGGATTGAAAGCCTCTCCAGGTAGCTTTTCCACTCAGCCCTTCTCAGTAACTTTGCTCTCCTTTCACCCAGCCTTTCTTGCACTTGTTCCTCATTAAAAGGACCGGAAAGCCAAGACCCAGCAAGGTTCTCCCCCTACTAACCAAGAGCAGAGAACCCTTCTTCACCCATGAAGCCCAAGTGGAATTTGCTGCAGTCACTCTCCACTTTGCATCACTGGATGCTCAGAGCCTTCTTCCAGGTGATGCAGAGAAAATACACAGACTTCCAAGCTGAGCATTAAGTCAGGATAAGGCAGGCCCTCAAAAAATTCTGAAGAGCACCTCACCAAAGGCTGCTAATGACTTCATACCAATGGATGGGGTGAGGATGTTGGGCAGCAGGAGCAAGAGCTGACTGGGGTGTAAAAGGATTGTTCAAAGAAGGTACAGCCAGAGCAAAAACCCTAAATGAAACCTCCATGCATCTGCTTGTRGAGGAGTGCAGAGGCTCCGCAATGAAATTTTTGCTACAGGACATGAGTCAGACTAACTCCTTCAAATTGAAATGCCAGAAGAAGAGATTTTTAGAACAAATCAATAAAATGAACATGTAGAAAATGTCAGGCCCAGATGGTATTCACCCAAGAGTGCTAAAGGAACTCAAATATGAAATTGCTTCATTTATTAACTGTTGTTCGTTAACTCCTGTTTCAAATGAATGCGGTATCAGAGGGATGGAAGGTAGAAACTATGACGAGTTTTTAAGTGCACGAAGGTGGATCCAACCTGGGCAAATTCACCAGAATCATTAGATCTGAGATTCAGCGGATAGATGAATAGYCACTATATGGCAGGAACTGACAGGACATTTGTGGGCTGAGAAAATCTGTTTTGCAGATTTCTGGAATATCTGAAGGAGGCAGAGAGTCCTGATGCCCTTGGGCTTCCAGGGGAGCTCCAAGACAGGCTCTCAAGGACCTAAGCTGTCCCAGAACTAACAGCAAGTGCCTGGCAGGGACTAATATGTGTTAAAAGCTAGGAAAGTAGAGTAGAAATAGTGTTCTCCAGAAAGAGCAATTGGTAGTGGAGTCTCACCAGACTATGAGAGACTTTTGCTATTCAACATAGTGTAGAAAAGTGTAGATGTAGAAGACATGATGTGGAAAAGTGGAGCATTAGTGTTGATTGTACTAAAATACTCAGAGGTGAAAGGCAAAGTGCCTGCAGGGAGTTGCTGAAGGACCTGATGATACTGAGTGACTCGGGAAAAACTTGGTTGGTGGCTTTCTGTGTCAATAGCTATTGAATGATTGACACGGAGAACCCTGCATGTACTGCAGACTCTCCTACCATGCAGAAGAGGCTTTTGGAGCTGCCATGAGCCCTTCTAATGACTGAGCTCAGTTTGGAGCCCGGGCAGGAAAGGAATGAAAAACAAAGCAGAAAACTTCCTTCCTGGTATATCTTAAACATTGTGTGTAATTGTAGTCACCACGTCTCCATAAAAACAAACTGGAAAAAATAGAGCAACTAACAAGGATAATAACAGCAGATTAGACCAGGCCCCTTCTGCATGATGGAAAAGTGCTGGTTGATGGGGATCAAGGGGTCTGCAAAGTCATGAGGGGCTCACCAAGGGCGAGCAGCACAACCCTCTGCTGTCTGCAAGGACCGAGAGGTAAGAGAGGAACAGGCAGCATGAGAAGTGAAGCTCTCATGTGGGGCATCAACCGGGACTTGCTGCCACAGCGACCAGGAGGCCAGTTCTACAAACTGAATAACATGGAGACACCCTTGTAGATACCAAGGAGACACTTTGATAAATTTTCTACCGAGGGTAATTATACACATAAAAAAAAAATCCAACATAAAGCTCAGCAAGTCAGCACTGTTGTTTGTTTGGGACTAATTGAAGGATGACCCATTGTCACAGGCCGTGCCAAGCATCTGCTGCTGTCAGACCCACCCAACAAGGCTACCCACCCTTGGTCCCCTTCCAACCCTACCGGTTTCGTGCTCTTCATAGGGCTAGTGTGTTAGAGAAGGAGATCTCACAGCCTGAGCTCATGTCCACCAGAAGGGCCCCAATGCTTATCCCATGCAGCAAGACACTCTCACCCGCTTGCGGCTCCAGAAGGGTCTCCAGTTCTTCTCCCACCAGCTGCTGCACAGAAAGATCAAAGCCGTTCTCTGAGTCACGGTCTTCTGCCTCGCTCTCTCCATGGCCACTGTCCTTCGTACTCTGGCAGTCGGTATCCAGACCCATGGCCCTGCAGGGAGGCCAAAACACCCAACTCACACCTGAACCATCAGCACCATCAGTCTGCCTGTTCCCTACCTGGTCTAGTATTAACAAAGGTGGCTGTCCTTAGCCCCCAGGGAATGACACAAACCTTGAGTGCTTTTAGAGTCACRTTCTGTTACGTTCACGTGGGGGATTCTCCACAGTGTTGCATGCAGAATTTGCCAATGGGATGGGATTTTCTGTGGTATCCAAAGCAGGTTCAGGATCTTGGAGGGCCTCACCATGCCTCTGCGCTCTGCCCCTTCACGGGGGGCCAGCTCAGCTCCAGCCAGGCAATGCAGCAACCTGTAGGGTCCTTGCACCCCATGCATCTGCAACCAGCCCCCTAGATGAGTCAGGAGGCCTCAGGAGACAAGGAAGCTTGAAAGGGGCTTCTGAATCACCACTTTTACCATCATTTCAGTTCCCACCAATTCATTAGTTTTTTTTTTTTAATGTTCATACAAACCAAAGCATGTGCCATGAATCCTCCGAAAAAAAAAGAGTTCTGGCTGGATGCTGGACTACCTATGGGGCTTCTCCATATTTCTTGTTAGAGAGTTTTTCCTTTTGCAGTGAGACCTGCCCTGAGCCAACAGGGAGATTTTGGCTCTTCCTGAGGAACCCAGAGGAGATACTTGTACCCAGAGCATCTCTCTGCTGGGTCAGGTTCCTGCCTTGCTGATCTCCTGACTCTGAGATTCCAGTCATGTCAACTGGCAATGACATCTCTAAGGAAGTGCCTAGAGCTAGTCAGAGTGGTGGGAAAGCTTGTCTGCATGCCTGCTGCCTCCAAAGCCGTGGCTCAGTATGCTCATGGACACACAGCTTCATTGCACTTGAGCGCACTGCTTCTTTCCCCGGCAAAGGCAAGCAGATGGATCCTGGCAGCAGGGAAAGCTCAGGCAGACATGGGCACAAGCTGGTGTCTCTTGCTCTGGAGGCGTCTGGGGCTGGCAAGGTTGAAGAGGAAGCAGGCAGAGACACTAAGGGACAGCGGGCAAGGGAAGGGATGGACTGAGAGCAAACCTTACCTGCTGCCATTCTTGGCTGTGTATTTGTTTCCCCTGTGATTTGTTTTGGGCTGGAACTGGCCCTGGTGCAGCAGAGACAGCAGCTGAGAGATTTGCTGTAAGACAGGAAAAGCCTATTGAGCCCATGCAATCACCACTCAAGATGCTTCCTGCCAGGATGTCCCCTCTAAACCGTGCTGCCTTTTTATAGCGTTTCCTCCTTCTGCAGATGGCTAGGTATCCCCACTTGGAGGTTTGTGCAAGGGAAAAAACAAGAGGTCCAGCAGCCCACCTGGTCCCAACATTTCCCCTCCATCCACGGTGCAGTTTCTGCTTGTCATGCCCTCCCAGCACACACCTTTCCCTTGGTTGGAGGCAGCTAACCCACAACTCTCCCCATCTCTGTGGGAAGACCGTTCTCCAGCCCCTGTCCGGGATGTCCTGGTGGGCGTCTGGAGACCATTCCCACGGCAAGGAAGCCCAAACTGTATCTGCCCAGGGCCTGGGAAAGAGACCACATCGCTCAACAACAGGTTGATTTTTGCCTTCAAGATGCATTCCCACAACCACAGGGTGTACACGTCACGGAATCACAGTTAAGGTTGGAATAGATCTACGGAGATTATCTAGTCTAATCCTCCCATCAAAGCAAGGTTACCTAAAGCATTTTGCCTAGGACCTTATCTAGACGCCTTCTGAGTATCTCCAAGGATGGAGACTCCACAATCTCTATGGGCTGCCTGTTCCAATGCCCTGTTAGAACCGGATGAAGCAGAATCTGGGTTTTTTTCCCACCTCCATCAACCCCCAGGACAGCTCCTACCTGGACCGGGGGTGACTCCATGGCGAATTCTCCTGTGGGGCTCTGCTCGGCAAGCGCCACCAGCGAGAGCCGCACTAGGCTCCTGAGGATGTGCTGGTGGGGCTGGGCCTCGCCGGGCGCTGCGCCCGCCTCAGCTCCGCTCCATCCCCGCCACGTGGCACCCGCGGGCTGMGACGGCGGCACCAAAGGGTCTCCCAGCGGCCGCAGCTGCGGCTTCACCAGGCTCTTGCAATGAGGCAGCGCCTCTGGGGGGCTTGCGGGCTCTTTGGCTGAATTTTTCATCCTGTGGGGCTGGCAGGGCCGGCGCTGCATGAGGGTGAGGTTAAAAGCCTCCTGCTGCTCCTCCGAGTCTCTCTGGTTCCTCTGGTTTCTCAGGGTCCGGTAGAGAGTGGGCGTCAGGTGGAAGGGAGCCTGCAAGGCACTGTCACACTCGGCACCCTCACTCGGCAGAGCCTCCTTGCAGGGCCGCGGGGGCTCGGCCTCCCTGGGCCCGTCCGGCCTGCTCCTCAGCACCGGGACTAGGTGTATGTCTGTTTTCTGGATCTGCCTGTGCGGCTTCTTGAGCTGCTGCTGCCTGTAGGCATCCTCCGCCTCCCTGCAGTTGTAGGCCATGCTGTCCTTCTTCTCCCTTTTGCACAAAGACACGATTAAAACCAGGACAAGAAGGAACATGCCCAAGAGAGCGGCCAGGCAGATGACAGTGACCACGGGCAGGCTCAGCTGCTGCGACTCCTGGGCCGATGTTTTGGAGAGAGCACCRTGACTTGTGAAAAGCAGCCGCACGYGGGCCTGGGCGTGCAGGGGCACGTCTCCTCCGTCACTCACCCGTATYGCCAGCTCCCTCTCACTGCCCGCCAGGCTACTGGCGTTGCTGGAGTTGAGGAAGACCTGCCCCGAGAGCGGATCCAGGACAAAGAGCCTGGCATCGTTCCCCGCCACGATGGCAAAGCTGAGGGCCCCGTTGCGGCCAGAGTCCGGGTCGCTGGCCGCGACGGTGAAGAGCAAGGGCGCGTCGGAGCAGGACACGCGCGTCTCGTTGGCCGGCGCGGCCCCCGGGGCGCTCCAGTTGCCGGGCGCGGTGCAGAAGCACCCGGTCTGCAGGCTGACGAGCACGGAGATCACGGCGGCGCCTCCCGCCAGCGCCGGCTCTGTGATGACGGGCGCGTTGTCATTCTCRTCCAGCACGGCCAGCCGCACCGAGGTGTTTGACATGAGCCGGGGGTGGCCRCCGTCTTCCGCTGTCACCACAAAGTCCAGGCTGCTCATTTGCTCACGATCAAAAGCCTGAAGGGCAAAAATATCCCCAGTGCTGGGGTCAATAGAGAGCAGTCCTGAAACAAAGGAGTCCTGGATGCTGTAGGTGATTTTTCCATTGAAATCTAAGTCAGGGTCGTTGGCACTGACGGTAACCAAGTAGGATGGTGTCCGGCTGTTCTCAGCAATRGCAGTATCGTAGATCCCCTTTTCAAATTTGGGGGCATTGTCGTTAACATCACTGATGCAAATAGTAAGGTACTTGAGCACAGCTAAGGAGAGATTGCCCTGGTCTCGCACCAGCAAGGTCAGGTTGTATTCAGCACAGAGCTCCCTGTCCAGGGTGGCGTTGGTCATCAGCACGTAGCTGTGGCTGGTGGTCCTCTTCAGCCTGAAGTGYTCATTTCCTTGACTGAGAGAGCAATGCACTTGTCCGTTGTTTCCTGAATCAGGGTCAGTAGCAGTCACCAGGGCCACAAAGCTGTCTTTGGGAAGGGCCTCGGAGAGCACTGGCACTCGGGCAGCCCAGGTGATGTGAACATCGGGGGCGTTGTCGTTGACGTCCAGCACTTTGACAAGGATCTTGCAGTGCGCTGGGATGGGGTTGGCGCCCAGGTCTCTGGCCTGCACATCCAGCTCATAGGTGTGGATTTCCTCATAGTCCAGCGGGTGCTTCAGGACAACGCTGCCCGTCCGGGCATCGATGCTGAAGGTGCTCAGCACCTCCGGGGGAGCATGTTTGCTGAGGCAATACTCTATTTCTCCATTGGGACCCTGGTCAGGGTCGGTGGCTGTGACTGTTATGAGGAGAGTCCCAGGCACAGCATCTTCCCAAATCTCTACTGTCAGAGAGCTCTCTGCAAAGACAGGGCTGTTATCGTTGGAGTCAAGAACTATGACCTTAATTAGAGCAGTACCTGATTTTGGAGGCTCCCCATGATCCACAGCTATCAATATTAGATCGAAAGAAGAGTGCAGCTCTCGGTCTACTTCTTTAACAACAACAAGCTCCGCATGTTTTGTTCCATCAGAGTCCGAGACGACCTCCAGAGCAAAGTGTTCACTGGGAGACAGCGAGTAGGAGCATAGCGCATTGTGGCCAGTATCCGCATCCAAGGCTCGGTCCAACGGGATCCGTGTCTGTAAAGATGCGCTCTCCGAAATCTCCAGCTCCAGTTCRGGCGTTGGAAATTGAGGCCCATTATCATTGATATCTAAAACTTCAATCTCCACATGGATCAGGGCCAAATTTTGGGCCGTCAGCACATCAAAAGAGACCAAGCATGGATCAATATGCCTGCAGAGCTGTTCCCTGTCCACCCGGCCGGCAGTGCTCAGCAAGCCGTCCTCACTTCCCACCCAGAGTGGGAACCTCCTTGGGAGCTGCATCAGTTGGAAGGTCTCCACAGCTGTACTTCCCTCACCCCCATCAAAATGCTCCGATAACTTCCCAATTACCGTTCCATTCGGTACTTCTTCAAACACTTTGTATTGCACTGTGAATGTGGCCACCTCCTGGGCATCCACGGAGAGAAAAAGGTACCACCACAAGGCTGGGATCTGAAGAGGCAGGCAGCACAGCAAAAGCATGCTTCTGAGAAAGCCAGCTGCCTTGCCGCTGCGCCCCGGCACCACGGGCTTATCCATGCCCCCAAAAAAACACTTACGGTATTTGCAAATCCTTCGCATCCTCTCCCATTTCCAGATCCCATAGGCACACGTTACCGGTTGGAAGGGAAGCAAGGTCGCCAGTCCGACTGTGTTGAGTCACAGCTCTCCCCTTGCCCACCATCGCCAGAGGACGGGCAGAAGATGCCGGTCGGTGGCTGCTGAAATGCACCACAGAAGAGGACGGCCACCAGAGCAGCGTGTCAGGGAGCGCCGCGTCCGGCCGGCCACCGGCCAGGGCTGGGAGGTGGACGAGCTGGTGTTTCCGATGGAAACCCCACCTACAGGAAAAGGGAGGACCGGGACCTTGGTACAATGCTGTCTCGGGGGTGGGGGATGTGGGGCGGCATGCTCCCCAGCTTGAGGAAGGTATGGAAATGCCCTTGATTTCAAGCCTAGAGGAACCATCGCGTGTCTGGTGTGAGCTGCCAAATGCCTTTTACAGAACCTGCAACTCCTGCAGAAGGTCCCTGCTTCATTTCCGAACCCAGGTGCGTGTCAGAAAAAGATGTCTAGAAATGATGAATTTATCATATCATCATTGTATTTATCCTAACGGCTCGTTCCCTGCACTGTCAAAGTCCTTATTCTTTATTCTGATTTAATTGAAACCCAGCCTAGAAATGCTGGTTCTCGTTCTGCCTGCTGCCGTTGGTTCTGACGGCAGCGCTCACATTGTCCTTGTCAGGACACAGCTTCGGATCAGGTCACGCTTTCATCTGAACAAACCAAAATGACTTTCAGTGCCCTAATGAGTCACTGGGCAAGCTGCCACTTAAAACAAGGGCAGGTGGATGCAGGGCACAAGGAAAGCGATTGAGCAATGGCAGATACTCCTAGTGCCCCGGGGCCATTTATCCTGCCCAGCTGCGCTGGTTCCACACACACTGGCTCCCCTTCGGCTCTGCCTCCATTTCCCCAATGCTGCTTCTCAGACAGCAAGGATTTCACTCCAGCTTTTGGCCAAATCTCTGTCCCTGCTTTGTTTCAGCCCCTTGCCCTGAGCTCCTGCCTATATGTAGCTTATGTACAACCACCCATAGGGCAGTACAGTCACACCTGTCGTTTGCAGGCCGGTTGTGCGTGTATGACACCATGTGCAAATGAAAATGCTTTCATGTATTCCTCCTAGGCCAACGCCATCTCTGGAGGCAGGCAGGGTAGAAGGCAGAGGCTGGCTGGCGAGCCAAACGCTGCAAACAGGGCTGTATTTTTGGTCTTGAGGCCACGGAAGGCATTCAGGATGGGGAATGTGACTGTGGAAGTTGTTTTCCAAGAGCAGATCATCCGCACAAGGCAATCGTCTTTTAGGGCGCCTCTCACCACAATAACCACGGCCAGAGGACTCGGGGCAGCGGGGGGCCCAGCGCTGCTCCTGGACTCGGCACTCCTCCGGGGACCTTTGCCCGGCCATTTCCCTTCTTTGTACTATCGCTTCCTCCCCAGCAAAGCCAAGCGGCTCCGTGGGGTCTCCCAGTGGGCTGTGCTCTCGTTTGCAGGCTGGCCATTCATCTGCAGCTATGAATATAGGGGTTTCATGGCAGAAACTCGGCTTGCAGCAGAGTGGGAGCGGAGGCTGCCTTCCTCCAGGGGGATCCTGTCCTTCCTCYTCATCACACCTCCCCTTTTCCAAGGAGGGAGAGGAAAGGGAATGGAGAACAGCATGGAAATCTCATACAAAGAAAGAAACAAATGCAATCCCTGCAGGAGGGTGGCTTGGAAGTTTTCCCCTGCAAAAGCCCTAAAAGGCACATCCTTTTCCTCCCCATCACCTCCTGTTTAGGCTGCCCTGGCCCCGAAAGGTTCCTCTTCCTCCCTGAGGGCCAAGCGCGAAGGCGATGGAGCGCCAGCTGGCTTGGCCTCCGCAGGAAAAGGCGGATGCGGCAGYCCGTGCCGGGAGGAGAGCAGGGCCCGTCCCTGGGGCGAGCGCCACTGCCTCGGCACAGGGCTGTCCCTGGTCCCCAAACACCTGCCCTGCTACGGATGCCAGTGACAGACCCAGACTGCCCAAGGGAGAAGGAGCTGGGGAGCTGGTGCATGAATGCATGTGCTCCAGGAATAAATCCCTCCTGGCTAGACCCCTGACCTCCAGGAAGTGAGCAGATTGTGGCTGCGGGACACGGAGCAAGTGCTCCTGAGCTGCAAGCCATACAGGCCGTGTCTTGACACAAGATAAGGAAATAGCAACAGAAGGTAGAAAGGAAAACGTTGGAGACAAGCTGAGATATGCAAGAAGCTCTGACAGCAAAATAAGCTTGGAGGCTCATAACAAAGCAGGTTTTCCACAGCTTTCACTTCCTTTTCATGCACACACAGGCTCCCAACTTGTGGATTCCCTGAGACCTTCCTCGAAAACATTGGCTCTGCCATAASCCAAGATTTCTCCCTTGGGAGGCCTGACAGCTTTTCATTTACACCTTAGGGAGGAGCACCAGTTATATTCAGTTATTGTCCTATTCTCTTTCTGCCCATCACTGTGCATCATCTCTGTGCCCATGCTTTTCTTTTTTAAAAGCAGAGATAAGCCAGGAGAACCTGGCTCCTCCAAAGCCCCTCCGCTGAGCAATGCAGGCTGCAAACACCTGCACCCGCTCACAGCCCGGGGCAAGGGCCACCCAACACTACAAAGCGCAACCCCATTCCCTTATCTCAGCCCCATCTGCACAGCCACGGACTTTCATACAGCTTTGGGGGCGTTTGGACAAGCCTTTAAGCAGGCAACTGTGCTGTACGGCACTGGCGGGTGGCATAGGGCAGAGAGGGACTATCACGAGCTGGAAATATTGGCCCCTTTCCCAGCCCGGCCACGGTAACTCCTCCCTTGGGAAGAGGAAGCCGTTTCTGGGCTGTCGCCAGCTTTGCAGATTGCGACGTAGAGAAATACGTCACAGCAAGTCCAGCTCGCCAGGAAAACGAGGAAGAGCCCGGAAGCTACTTTTGCCTTGGTGATTCGTATTGGTGGCTGTGCACAGCACCGATTTGGATCGCAGTTCGGATTTGTACTGCTCAGTGACAGAAAGCAGGTAGAGAAAAGCTGCTATCGATACCACAATTAGTTTTTGTTACAATTGCCAATAGGGGAACAGAAAATACGGGAAAAGGAAAAGAAATATTTTAAAATTTAATAATGAAAAATCAGGTCAAAGGAGAAGAGTTCAAAATGAACAAAACCAATGAGTTCTGGGCCAATATTTGGCCTCAGGATCATGTTCAGGGCATATCTTTTCCCATGAATGAGTCAGGAAAGAGGAACCTGCTGTTGTGCCCACTTTGAGAGGTGGGGATGGCGCCCGAGGGCCATGGCAAGGACGGATGCAGAGCCCAGCAGCCACCCAGGGCAGGGGCAGCACCATCGCCCCATGGAGTGGAGACACCAACAACAGCTCCCATCTTCTGCAGGGGGTTGGGGAAATCCAAGAAGTGGAGACAGGCAATGCCACATACCCAGAGGCAGGATGGATCTGTCGCCATCCATGAATTTTGTCATTCGCCCTATGGGAGGTAGAGCTCTGCACAGGTGCACAAGAAGGCCTAGGACCTGCCCTCRGCTCTTGGCTGGCCCTGAGAACCATGAGGCTCCTGTGGGAGAATAAATAGGTTGTCTGCTTCAGTAAGAAGGAGAGGATCCAGCAACCTGCTGCAAACCACACATGGGCAAGCACAAAAAATTGCTGAAGGTGGCTTGTCCCTTCTCTTGGGGGCCCTCTCGTGGGAGACCACTGCCTTTCTCTGTGGTCATCTTCTCCATTAAATAAAAYATAGTAATAATAAATAGAAGATGCAAGTTGAGAGGGATCTCCACATGCTACCTTGTCMAATCCTCCACCCCTGTCATCAGGTCTGTTTCAGACTGGGTTGCTTAAGATCTTTTCCTTCCAAGCATTGACAGTTTCTGACATTGAAGACTTCTCCACCTCTCCTGGCAGCCTGTCCTATGATTCATCCCCTGCAAAAGTGATTTTTTTCTGCCTTCTTACTATTTACCTGGAACATTCCTTGCTGCAGCTTGTGCCTGTTGCAGCTTATCCTTCTGCAGGTSCCTCCAAGAAGATCCTGGCTGAACTGTCTCTGCAGATTCTGTTGAGGTAGGAAGGGACGGGAGACATCAGGCTGCGCAACCCCAGACCGCACGTCCTGGGCTTCAGCTCCTGCCCCACTCACCTGCGCTCTTTGGACTTGCTCCCATTTCCTGATGCCTTCCTTGTACCAGAGAGCCTCAAACCAGGGAGAGGACTGAAAACACAAGTTTAGTCCAGACAGGCTCATTTCCTGAGCTGCCRGCAGCTCTCCCGCTCGCCCAGTGTGCAGTTGTCCTCCTTCGCCACCAGAGCACACTGCTGGTTCACGTTCAGCAGATGGCTGCAGGAGCTGCTGGCGCTCAGCGTGCGCGCGCCAGCACGGCAGCTCGTTACCTCTTGCAATGAGCTCATTGAGCTCATTGAGCTCATTATTGAAAACCCAAGGAGCTTCGGCAAGCACAACCCATGTCCCGGGCCTGCTGGGGCAGAGGGGCGGACAGGGCCTCTGTCCCTTGCAGGATGGTCTGTAGCGGTGTCACCTGGCCCCGATTCCCGTCAACACGGACAGCCTGAGCCTGAGCTGTTTTTGATGCTGCCTTTCACAGCTCGTTTTTTTGGACTACCTGGATCTGTAACCACATTTCTGCAGGCACAACAAGAGCCCTGCCCAGGCCTAAGGTCGCCAGCTCCTCCTAGCCCGAAGGCCCACACACAGCATAGCAATGACCCTCCTCCCCAGCCCATCTCCTGACCATCCACCCCAGCACTAGGAGCCCACTCACCTCCTCCACAGCTCCTGTTGACCTCATGGTGGCCCATGGGGTCATCCCCTCATGGGGTCACCCCGCGCCCTCCGGCCTTACGTGCGGCCTCCCCGGGCCTCCGTGCGCATGGGGCCACCACCACCTCAGGGAGAGACAACCTGTCAGCAGCGGCCTCCCTCCAGGCCTAAGCCTTTAATGTGCCTTCAGGAGATGCTCCAGACAGGGCCATGCCTCCCTCGCAGCACATCTCCACTACGCTTGCAACACTTCTTTCCAGCTCTACCCACAACACTACCTATAAAGYCTCCATTCGGTGCTTCTAGGACCCCTGCTCCTGCAGGGAGCTATATGGGTTGTCCTCCTGCAGTGAGCAAGTAGCTCCTCWCCAGGAGGCAGGTGAAGGAGGGAGGTGTGAGCATTCCCTGATCCAGATACAGCTATCAGGAGATAGGAGATGCAGTCATGTTTGAAGTTCATCTAAAGCAGAAGTCCATCTTTGGGAAAAGCAACCAATTACACCATTAACACAGGAGCTCTGCTAGCTGCTCCCGTCTGCGGGGCTCCAGAGCCTCTGCCACCCAGGAATCCTCATGCACTTTATTTAAACCCTTGTGCTGCAAAGAACAAAAGTTTAAAGCTGTTAACAGTAAAGCTGGCCAAGTAGAAAAGAGGGGGAAAAATGTTAAAATGCCATTTTATCATGTAGGAAAAAGCAATGAGAAAATGAGTCAAAAGTAACTCATGGTGCCATTCTGCAGAAGAAAGTTGGAAAAGATTGTCRCTTGTTTATATTTATGAAAACTAGTTTATTATGATATCTTACAGCAATTCTTTTTTTTTTTTCCTCATATTTTTAAAACCCTTGTGTACATACACATTCACAAATGAAATACACCCTGATACTAGATCATTCCAGAACAGCTCACTCTTATGCACTTCCTCCCCATSCTAACTGTGAGCTGGGACACGCAGGTACAGGTCAGCCTGCTTGTAAAAGGGTAACACCTGGCTCCACTTCACAGGCTACACCTGTAGTCTGCAAACACCTAAGGAGCAAATAGCCTGCCAGCAACATCTGTGTGACGGTCATAGGTTGTGACTGCCCAGTGGGGTGGGGTGGTGAGAAGGTGCTGGGAACACGGTGAGAGGAGGTCTTCCAAAGAGGGGATACCAACAGGTCTTCTGCTGTGCTGCAGGAACCGGAGCCTGGGGCAAGTTCTGGAGCAAGCTGAGCCTCAGCTGCACTGTGGCTTCCCAACGCTTTTGTCTGCTTCTACTCTGACAATCTGAAATAGCTCCAGAATGGCAAAACATTCCGAAAAGGTGCCTTTTCCCCAGCTCCTGAACTCTGTAACTGATATATCTAGGCCAAAGCGCAATCCAACATAAATTAGACCTCTGAAAATCCCAAGCGGGTGAAAATCGATGAGTTTTAGCAATAAGTACATGTTTTATCTCCCTTCTTATTAATATTTAGATGTGTCTAATCTTTCCTTTGCAAACATGATGTTTCCCTGTTGCTGCTGTCCTTTAGAGAATGCTGAAGTGAAAGCGTCTGATTTCTTTGATGAAAAATTCAGCGCCGAGTCCTCAATAATGCTGGTACTTATTTTGAAACAGTAAGCTCCTGCAAACCGACTGCTTTCTTGGCTCATCTAGCCTGGCCAGATGACACCACCTCACCACAGACTGAGGTGAGATGCTATTTCCCCACTCCCATGATTTTAATCCAGATTTTGTAATCATTGTTACATTTTTTCTCTATCTCTAACTCTTCGACTGCTCAGCAATGAAGAGGGTGACTGGCGGGGTTACAAAACTTAAGGCTATCATTTAAAGGGATGGKCCCAGTCTAGTTATTGCACCTTCAGTAGTTATGGATATATAAAATCAAAAAATTAAGGATGAAAAGTGAATTTCACGAGTATTTAAAAGCATATATTGGCCTAACAAGAGAGATGAGAGTCTCAGTAATTTTCAAGAAAAAAATGATACACTTCTTCCCCTTCTAACATACAAGTGGGACAGCTGGAAATTCACTGTAACTCTGAGGGAAAATAATTAAGAAGAAAAAAAARRAAAAWTWAAAAAAAAAAAAAGGCAATATGAATTACATTAATTGAAAAGACCAAAAGCAAAGTTGGTCCTACAAGGCGAACTGCTGTTTGGCTTTAGAGTAATTGAGCAAAACAATCTGGAAATAGATGATGGAAGGAAGATAGATATCTTCCTTCAGAAGATAATCAGAAACATCGTTGGACAGCAGAAGGAACCCATTGGGTAAAGGAATGGGTAAAAGAACCCATTTCATTTGTAAAATTGCCCATTTTGTTTGGTGCGATAGTTCAGGGTTGGAAGGAACTGTGCTCGGGATGCAGCTGAGGCCAGATGGAGGTCGGGGTAGGGAACAAGCGCCCACAGGAGAAGCCCAAGGAACAGTTCCTGTACCTTGCTGTTCCTCCTATGTTCCTCACTGTTTTTTTCCGTTCTTAGGTGGAGAAGGCAGAGGTGAAACCCTGTTTCAATTTCCCAGACTACTCCACAGCACCAACCTCGGCRCCCATCCCAGAGGCCCCACTTCCCTGTGGCACTTTACTCAGCACCCATGGAGATAGGTTTCAACTTCTATCTCTCMCAGAGGCAGGAAAAACCAAGACCCAGCAGCCACTTTCAGTTTGGACACAGACACATTTCAGCAGTACCCAAGGCCTCTTTATTCTGAAGGTACCTTTAATCTACAGAGGGTGGGTCATTCTGCTGATGTTCACAGCTTCTTCAGTAAGCCTACCTGGAGAGAGAGACAAATTTGGGGATACTAAAACCTCAGTGTGCAGGTACTGGCGGGGGGGCTCCAGCCCAGCCAGCTTTCCAGTCAGTGTTTTTTCTGACAGGTCCATGGTTCCTTGAGTCCCACCTGGACTGGGTGGCCCATGGTCTGGTCACAAGTATGTGATCTCTATGACGTTAGGCTCGGCGTTCCCGCAGGGAAGGTGGTGTTTACATGAGCACTGGTAGCTTTCCCCATTCGTGTCCTTGCTGTCCAGCTCTCGCTGGCAGTACTGGACTGACTGCTTCTTCTGGGAGCCCAGCTTCTTCCAGTCCGTGAGGTGCACGCCGCCATCCAAGTCCTGCGGCATGGGCTCATGGTAAAGGGTGATTTGGATGGTGCGGAGATGAGGGCCATAGTGCACCACAATGATAATGAAGATGGCCAAGAGGACGAAGATGACAACGATAACAGAGATCATGGGCAGGGCATCGGACTTCTTTGTCACGCTCTTAACAACAGAGACGGGAGTGAATGTGTCCGAGTCCTGGGGCTCGGGCTGTCTCAGCTGGCTGCTGGGGGCAGAGATGTTCATGGCTCAGCAGGCTAACCTAGGGCAGAGAAACACCATTTGGAAACAGGTTATCACCAAGCAGAGGCTGTCTCATGTGTGCCCTCATCTTCTGTCCTTGCTTACATGGCTCCTGCCTGTCACCCATCTGCACTTGCAGCTCCTCGGGCACAGAGACCCAGGGGCAGGCACTGGATGCACCTTGTTCAGTGCATGCTAGGGGAAAGATCAGGCCTGGGACAAGGCCTTGGGCATTGAGCAAACCCTCCTGAACGGATCACAGCTCTCCGGGCTAGGAACGGGCATGATGAGCCCTTCATCCCTCCTGAGCACAGTGTTAGGAGTCCCCTGCAGCAGGGAAGGCACTCTGCAGGTGCCCAGCGTGCCCAAACAGATACTTGGGTTCAGGCAGACTAAGCTTAAGTGCCTGGTACTGCGGCCCCTATAAGGACTCCATCGTGATAACCCCACTTCAGCCAGATTTATTCCTCCAAGAGTTCATGATGAAGAGGAGAGTGAAGCTCTGTAGAAGCCACCTGGGCCATGCTCTGTCTCCACTAGCAGTGCTGAGCCACTGGCAGAATTTGGGGTTACATCTGGGGTTGTAGGGATGGTGCCCTGGACACATTCAATCTGGTGGCAATCAGAGCACAGCGGGGAGGTTTTCCCCTGTGTTGCCTTGTCCTGGACACCTTTGGAGCCATGGGGCTTCCTTCCACCACCCTATGCCCCTCCACTACAGCATTACATGAACTAAGCTCCTGAAGAGGAGACTTTAACTTTCCCTTCCTCCTCTCAGTACCACAGTGCTAATCCAACACCAAAACTCACAGGCGGCTTCCCAGAAAGCCCAACCCTGCCAAAATACACCAGGAGATATTGGCAATTCAGGCCGGCACTGAATACAGCAGCGAAAATCCAGGCATGAGGGGAAGGATGTCTGAGAGCRGGGAGGCAGGGGGGGCAGCAGGAGGAGAAGAGGGAAAGAGAAAGAGCCTTCCCTCCTCCAGAGGGACCCAGGCAGTACCTCTGTATCCCTGCTCCAGGAGAGTCATCTCCAGGGGAGATGTTGGGACGCTCGGAAAGGCTCCTGGAAGCTTGTCTGGAGGCCGGAGGGGCCGTGAGCGCAGCTGGGCTCACCTCGGAAGCGGCCACGTCATGCCTGCGACCCGCGGCCCCAGGGACTCCCCCGGCAGAGAAAGAGGAAACGGCGGCTCGTGCCACACGTGCTCCGCGGAGGTGCTGCCTCACCTAGCAGAGTGCCACATCATCTGCGCCTCCTCCTCCTCCTCTTCCTCCTCCTCCTCGCTGTCACACACACACACACAGAGGAAGCACTCCCCGCTCGCCTGCTGCAGCACAAGGGCCCTTTGTTTGGGGAGAAAACACCTAACTCCCGCTCCTAACACACACACGGGCCAGAGGAAAGCCTTCCCTCCTCTCCCTTCTTTTATTGACCTGTCTTTACGATTTATTGAGCTTACAGAGCCCCTCTGCGTGCAAGCTCCTTGCAAAGGCCAGTGCTCCCGGCTGGGTTTGCCCAGCGCAACGCTGCAGCCACAAGCGCTCCCCTCCGCTCCCTCTTTCAGCCGGGAATCCTGCTGCTCGGATTCTTCGGCCCCAGGAGGCTGTTTAGGAGATGGCTACGTGCTAAGGGGGTGCATTTGAAGCAGGATGTGCCTTTCTGGGCACAGCAAAGCATCCATTCCAAGCAGCCATGGACCTGCTTGGTGCAACCCAGCCCTGAGAGCACCATCAGATGGAGGAGTGTCTGGATGACCACAACTCCCGTTCAGAATCAGGCAGCCTCTGATTCTGGACCCTGAGCACATCACAGCTACAGCAAAGATGGATCATCCACAGCTTTTGCTAGCTCTCGGAAGGCATTTGTGAAACCACCCAGTTTCTCCCAACTATCCCCATCTTTCCTGCCCCAGAACAAACCTGCTCTTACCTTGTGGCTGCCTCTCACGTGAATATTGTGGATCCTTCTCTCACATTCATGGGGAGGATGGGGCTGGAAACGCTTCTTTCTCCCTTTAGCCAAGCAAGCTGATGGAAGAGATTTGTCTGAATGATAGGGCTGCTGGGACCGGGAATTTGTACTAATTTCAGGATTCAGTAAGACCTTAATCTACATATAATCTCTGGGCATCACATCTGTGCAAAAGACAAAAAAACAAAGGGAGGGGGGCGATGCTAAGAGAGGGTTTATAAAAGCAAAAGCTGATGTGAGAAGCTGGCTCCTCTTGGCGTGATGGTTTGTTTTGGGTTTTGGAGATCCTTGAACAGACCTGCTGAAATCTAGCAAAAGATGTACCATATATTAGCGATTTCTCCCTCCTTTCATGCAGTCTTCTCCCAGCCACAGAAGATGAGGACCTTGCAAGCAGCATGAGACMCAGAAACCAGGACGGTCCTGCTCTCACCTCAGGGCAAACCAAAGGCTCCAAGACCAAGGGCTCTGCTCCGGCCACCACCCAGACACAACATCAGGACCAAGATACTAAGCACGCACAAACCCTTTGCTAGCAGAGCTGAGCATGGACCAAATGAACAGAGGCTTCAATTCCTCCCCTCATCAAAGAACCAGATCCTGGCATTTCTCTTTCTTTTTCCTGTCTAAATCAGCATGTCCATGCTCTGATTATTCTCCTTCTGGGATCCAAAGTGCCCTGGGCATGAGCTGTTTGGCCCCAGCAGACGGAGAATAATCCACCCCACTGTGGGCTCCACCTAATCCCCACTCCTTGGGCTGAACGTAACATCCCCACAAAGGCCAGATGAGGCTTTTTTTTCCCTCAAATCATGGTGTTCACAGATTTAATTCAGTAAAACCACTCTCCTTTTCTAGGCTGCCCTGGGGTGCCAGGGGCTTCATCSCAGCTCCTGGCTTCAGCACCAGGGAAGGCAATAAACCCTTTGCAAAACAGCAGCCCAAATTATTCAAAATTCAAAGCCTGGATGTCCTGCGGGGACATGATGCTGCTGCTGCATCAAAAACCCACATGTCCTGGGTGCCCTCCAGGAGCAGATACTTCCAGTGGTCACGTTTAAGCCTTCTCAGAGGCTTGAGGAAGGTCCCYGCTCCCACGAGAGGGCAGGTTGGCTCTTCCGAGAGCACCAGGAGCAGCTTTTTGCCTTGGGAGACCAATCCATCATGTATCCATCACTACTCCACACGGAGCAGAGGAGCAAGTTCCTCCAGGCCAGGAGCAGAGCCAGTGCTCGGGTGCGAGCTTCGTGCCCAGCACATCCTCAACACAAAGGTAAGCCGTCTGATAAAACCCAGCACCATAAAGGGGAGCAACTGAGGCCCGAATCAAGGCAGGACCACAGTGCACATCACGCCCCCTTCTCCCACACTATGGCAAGAGAAACCCCGACCAAAATGATGCGGAGGTTTCCTTTGCGCTTGGTAAGCTGTGCCTCATATCCTCTCCAGCCATAATGGGCTAAAAGCACAGTTCCCTTGTGGATACAGCCTGTTTCCTTCTATTCTTTAACAGGAAGCTCTAAAAGAATCAGCCCAGGCAGGCAAATCTCTCCTCACCCTTTTTTTCACTCTCAGTATGGCCAGAGCCCTAGCAGGGCTGGACGGCTGCAAGCGCCYGAGAAGATGCTGGCTGCGTCGCTCCATCCGCTCCTGTGGCTGTTTGGCTGCGTCCTCCTCAGAGGTAAGGCGCTCCGGTGGCCTCCTGCTTAGGCAGGCTCGGGCTCGGGCTTACCTTCCACGTCTGCACCAAAGATTGGAGTTTGTAGCAGATGGAGAAGCTACTGCACTGGAAAACTCAACCTTTAAATCSAGGGGCAGTGGCAGGGGGCTGTTTGGAAACATCTGGCCACGTTAGTTGATGCAGAGTTTATTTGGGAAGGTAGAATAAAGCAGGCGGTTTCCCGGTTGACAAAGGGATTGTTTCTGCTGAAATACTGGGATATTGAGGTATTTTGTAGTAAGTGGCATTTTCACAAATATAGGCAAAGGTAGAACTACAGCACTTTTAAACGCACAGGACAGTTTTCCTGGGAAATGTTTTTGTTTTTTTTTTCCCTGATTTAGTTTAATTTCTCCTCTTACTGATACAAATATAAAGGACGTAGAGCAAGGTGCAAGAACTCCACAAGCAATTCACTTACTATTCTTACTGAAAACTAATCTGCACTAGCTCTGATTCTAATTTTTCTTTCATATCTCAGTTATCATGGAATCAGTKTCCCACTCTGAAGCATGAATATTGTTTTTTCTGTCTTTGTAAGTCATGTCTTGTGTTGTAGCTATGAGCTTAAGAACTTTTGAAGGAGTAAACTGTGACATTATTACCATTTCTAATGGATAGCAATCTGAAAATAATCATACTGTGTGCCTTGGATCCAAGGTTCTTATCATTAAACCACAGAAGTTGCATAAGGATCAGAGGTAGTTTGTGGGTAATAACAGGATTTTTAAAAGGCACAGAGAGCAGAGCCAAACAAATCAATCCATAAAACCCAAAACAGTGTTACTGAACTTCTAATTCCTAGCGGTAAAGTTGTCAGGTGCAAGAGCATATMGATTGGAAAACTTCTCTTCTAGGAGAGGGCAATGCTGCTGGCTTCAGCAGAGGGGCCAATTTTGTTCAGTGTGAGAGAAGGGGCTTTGAGGCCTCTCTGCCATGCCACAAGGTCCGTCAATGCCTGGCCAGAATGCTACTTTTCCCATAAAAGTACTTGCTGTGGTTTGCATAGGCTGGGCAGGCCACACAGGTTCTCAGGTACCTCTCCTGGATCACCTGCGTGATCGGAGATCCACCTCTCCTGCCTGCAGGGTTTGAGGCTGATTGCCCCATTTCCCGGGAGATTTACTCTCAGTTGTGGGGTCAGGTGGCAAGGATGTCCTCAGGAGACTGCCACTGCCCTGTCCGCCAGCCCTCAGGGACACGCTTTGCCTGTCCGTAACTCCATTCTACTTAAAATTTGGGGGCAAAGTCACCTAGGTTTACAAGCTGAATTTTACTTCATGACATGAGTTCGACTAGCTGGGGGAAAYGCTGCTGCACAAGGGAGAGCAGAAGGTTGAGTGAAAGGCATGATGCTCCTGGTCATCCSACACATAAGAAACCAAAGGAAGGAGCTACAGGCTCTCAAACACGAGACATGAGAGCTCAGTGGTCTCCTAGTGCACTGGAATTTATTGGTTTATACTTATTGCTTTGGAGCACAGCAGGGTGCAGTCAAAACACCTGTAAGGCCACAAAGAGGGTGTTGAGGTGGCAGTGCAATCTTCTAGGCCAGAGCTGGAGCAGCTTCTACAAGTTTAAGAACAGGGAAAGACAAGGACCAGAGGAAGGGGGTTAAAACTTCCCTATTGCAGGAGACTCCAGGAACTTCCAAACTGCACCAAGGTGAAAAGCCAAAGATCACAARTAATATTACAAGTCAGCAGCCCCAAAGCTGGGCTGCAAAGCTGGCAGAAAACTAGCAATTGTCTGCTTCAGCACAGGCCTTTTCTGCTTTTAGCAATTTTGTTATTCGTAATTTTAAATTTCTAAGCTCAGAGTTATTTCAAAAGAAATAATTGAAACACTGCTGTTTTGAAATTGCTGAAATGGGATGCCTTAGAAACTTTCCAACTTTTTTTCTTTTCCCTCATAAAAGCTTGACAAAAAACATGTCCAAACAAGCCTTTTCCTCTGAACTGTTTCCATTACAACAGCCTGGCATTTTCCAGACAAAAGATTTCCACTGCAAACGTCCTCGTGGGGAGCTAACGAGAATGCCGCGGGCTTTTCCCATTGCCAGGCCATTTACTGCTTTCCTTGCCTGCGCGAGGGTAATGGGTAATGCCACCAGTACGAGGTACGTGTAACAGAGAACGTAAGATGCCACTAAAGGACAGACATCCAGATAGCAGGAGACCTTCCAGACACAGTATTTACCCACAAGTGCAACCTGGCTCTTGCTGCTCTTCTGCCTCTGTTCCTCAGAAGATGAGGACTGAATAGGTCCTCTCTCAAGCTCTAAGGGASCTGCAAAAGTCATGTATAAAAAAATGTTGCTGGCACCAATAACAACAAAATACCGGGCTTTTACACACACTTCTGACAAGAGACGTGAGATGTTGTAGTGGCAGAGACCGTAACACTGACCTTTCAGGTTGGTATTCTCAGTAAAAGCTGGGAATAAAATCACTAGTGGGTGTTTCTAGCTTGAGTGTCAGGACGAATTGCAGTCAGAAGGAATTCTTCCTGATGTGGCATGGTGCAATGGCAGGGCAACATTGCCCCTTTTTTGTTCACCAGGTAAGTCTCCTGGCTGGAGGAGTCCAAAGCGATGGAGCTGCTATTCAGCAGCTCATGAGATGCCAGAGGAGGCATCTCACTCACATCCTGCCTCTTAATCAAGTTGCAGCACAGGTCCCCTCTCTCTGTATGGACGGATGTTTCCTTCACCAGTCCCTGACCATACCATATGATGCCTGAGGGGAAACCCAAGATCCTTCCCTGAGCCTCCTTTATCAAACAAGAGAGGCTGGTAAACAACAGCAGCCAAGGAGGAAGTGTTTAGGAGAAATGCTTGCTCACAAAGCAAACTACTCACTTCTAGTAAAATGTACCTCTGTAGACAACTCTCTGCAAAGCTGATACAAGCTGCTGGACGCTGCTTCCAGGAATTATGTTGTCTTACAATAGGTGAGTCAACAGCAGGTGCCTTTGGAGAAGACAGTTCTGGTAATCCAACATGGAGGATGCTCCTGCTTGGAAGTGAATGTTGGTTCCTAAGCCAAGCCTTGTTGAATAATACCAAAGGGCATCACTGCATCAGCTAGAAGGTCTAGTTTTTCTGGTTTCAAGGGACATGAAAATGAGCCTGCTGCCCAGTTCAGCCACTTTAGTATGATCCAACCACTGCTTTGAGACGGAACTTCTCATTCAGACTGCTCAGTAAACCTAAGGACATAGGGGGTTGTGTTTTTGCCTTTCTACTGAACCATTCTAGCATAAGATAAAGGAATATGAAGAGTAAGGCCCTTTCCAGTATCTCTGGCCATGGTAGTGCTTGGAAGCGTGAAAAGTCACAGGGCAGCTTTGACCCCTAATGCCTCTAGGTGGTGGAAACTTGCAAGAAACTTGATGAAACTACTGGATTTCACATTTTATGAATAATTTTCTGATTACTTGCAACTCACTGCTTTGGGATCCAGTTCACCGAGATCAAGGTTCCTTACCTTCRGCATAGTGAAGGGACAGGGACATGATAGTGGAGAAGCATGATTCAAAACCAAATGTTCTTGGGTATCGCCGGTTCAGCTGAGGATGCCAGCTTAGACCCACCTTGAAAAACTCAAGTGTCAAGCCCTGTTTTCCACACCTTGTACAGACAGAGGGGGAAAGGCATGGTTCCCATTAGCAACAAAACCAAAATGCCCTCGSGTCCACTGCAGGTCTCCTCCTCCAGGCAGGAAAGCAACAGCTACAGATTGCTGCTCCCTGCAAAGAGGAATCTGGATGCTCATGCTGAGCTGTCTGTTGCRGCAATGTGGAACAGGAGGCTGCATGTGTGGAACATGTCCACCTACCTCCATAGGTGGAGTGAAGCTATAGCTTCGCTCTGACCTCTCTCAGGCCCAAAAGAAAGAAGGACCTTGCAGGGGAGACATCAGCAGCACAGTGTTGCTTGCCAAGATGCTTCATGGCCCCTCTAGCCTGCAGCATGACTCACAGTGTGAGGACACCTCTCAGTCCTTCACTGAGAAATGACTTGGTGAAGAGKCTTGTAAAACAAGAGGCCTGTTTTGAACAATTCCAGCAGCTTGACCAAATGTAGACGAACCATCCCAGCCCTAGCCTGGCACTGCCAATCCCTCCCAGCACTGAAAACTGTGTCACACTGCAGCAAAACATTTGATTCAATATGCTCCTCAAAGACATTGATTAGAGGTGGCTTTGGAGCTGCTAAATGAGATTAGTGTAAACAGAAATTAGGGAAGCAGCATGTCATAATTGATGTGCTGGATGGGGACATAGRACCACCGGCCTGTCAGTGAACTGTTTTCTGTATCTGCCACTTAACCCTGAGACAGTCATATAACATTTGGTTTCCTCACATATGAAACAGACCTAATGAAATGGCCTGCTCGGTAGTGTGCTTCGAAACCTGCGGATAAAACCTGGGGGTAACCCACATAAAATCTGAAGCCAGATGAAATTCSTCAGATCAAGAAGCTTGAACAGTTTCTTCTCACTCAGGTTCAGTGTTTCATAGAGGAAGCTGTAAAACTCCTCCCCAACAAGACTGTATGAAATGAGTATGTTAAGCAGGGATTGTTTCACCTCTTCCTTCAGCAGCTCCCCTGAGGTTCAGTCTAAGAGAACTTAAGAGAATGAGAAGAATGGGAATTGTAAGAATACCCCATTCCACTGGCCCTTTACAAACCTCTTCCTCCTCATTCACAAGGTGGGAGCTGCRCAGATCCCAACAGGCCACGTTGCTGCAGGATGCTTCACAAACACCACGCTGACCATCTACTACCAGCAATATTCTTCCAAGGAAACTCAGGGAATCCCAGAAACACAAAAACTGAGGCAAAGAGCACCCATAACTTTAGCATAAGTGATAAATGTATCTGCCAAAGACAGCCCACCACCAATCCATGACCATGGCTGTACTGCTGCAGGGGATGAAATCTGTGTGCTGGCAT